TGCTCGTATCAATTTTTCAAAAAATATTGCATTATGGCCGGGCGCGGTGGCTCATGCCTGTAATCCCAGCACTTTGGGAGGCCGAGATGGGTGGATCACGAGGTCAGGAGATCGAGACCATCCTGGTAATCCCCCTGTGCTAATACAGTACACAGCTGGAAACCCGTCTCTACTAAAAAAAATACCAGAAAAAAGCTAAGCCCGGGGTACAAAGCGCGGGGCCCGGCTCGCCTGTACGTCCAGCTACTCCGGGAGGCCTGAGGCCAGTAGAATGGCGTAAACTCCGGGGAGGCGGAGCTTGCAGTGATCCTGAGAATCGTAACTAGGTACCACCCGACACTGCCAAGCCTTGGTGGACAACAATGGCAGGGGAGGGCGAGCTCCCGTCTAAAAATAAAAAAAAAACCAAAGATTGCATTAGGGACCCGGAAGGTGGGCGAAGTGGGTCTCATGACCTGTTACAAAGCCCGAGGCAGCTTGTGCAACACAGACGCACAAAGATGGTCGGATCTTGCTTGAGGCCAGGTGAGTATCAAGCACCAGACCTGGCCAAGGCATAGTGAGAGCCCCGCAAATCCTCGGGGAACCACTAATAATATGACATGAAAAAAAGCCAGAAGAAGGTTGACGGCTCGAGGACCTGTGGTGGCCCACAATGCCTATAATCCGTGGCTACTTGGGAGGGATACGAGAGAGACAGTGAGAGAAAGGGCGACTTGAGACCTGGGAGGTGGCACATGGTTGCAGTGAGCAGGAGATCATGCCAGCTGCAAACCTCAACAGTCGGGGGCGAGCAGAGCGAAAGACTCCTCAATAGCAGTCCACAGTAAGTTTGCATTAGTGGGAGGGTGGTAATGTGGCCCTAGGCGAAGGGCATGTTCACGGGTATGTCCCTTCAATGTTCACCTTAACCGGGTGCGGAATATATTCAAATCAAATATGTGGAGTTTCTTGTTTCGGGGGGTTGACTAAGTATCTCAGCAGGCATTTGGGGAAAGCTGAAGTGACAGCAGAGAAGGATACCCCTTTGGCCCCTGCAAGGAGTTTTGTAGAACCCATTCTGGCAACATTAGCAAGATGCAGGGATGGGGGTATAATAAATGGGTGGGAGAGTATAGGATTAAGGAAAGAACTGGACTCTGAGCTGGTGGGCCCTCACCTTCATCTGGCAATTGAGGGGGTCATTGATATAAGAAAGGTCATTTGGGATGGAAGTAGGTCAGGTGAACACAGAAGGATTTGCATCCCAGTCTGGTGCCCAACACGGAGCTGGCTCACGCCACGTGGTGTTA